ATTGGGAGAGGCGAATGACCCGGAAAGCCCTTATATGGTCAAAAAGGGTGGATTTTGTATTTAACCACCAATGTAATGTTTTAATTATATGTGCATTATAAAAGTATGTCACTGTGATTTATTGTTCATTGCATCTGAGGAAGACCAATGATATGGTCGAAACGCGTTATGCTTAATTTTTAAAATATCTTTATTGGAATAAAAGATTTTTATACTTACTTTGGGTTCCTGACTGTATCCAGACGATATCTTCTATCTGCACCTAGTGGGACCAGTTGGTATACAGCTCTGCCTGGAATTATTCGACAGGTTTTTACAAGTAGAGAGCCGACTCATATGGCTCTCTAAATTGTGAGTGTTTCCAGTTACTACCAAATATATATAGTATTATTTACATACTACCCTATGATAGCTATTTATATTACAGATTGTCACATTTTCCAACGTGTGCGCAAAACTTCCTCTTCTTATCCAATTTTGTACATGTAAGTGTTTTGTAAGGTGACTGCAACACTGGTTTGTTTTTTGCTGCACTGGGATTTATATATATATAATTATTTAGCGCCATTTCACCTTTCTTTTCTTGTTTGAAGATGAGTTATTATTTAAAATAATTACTTTTCATAAAGAAGTTTATTTGTATGGCATTTTCAAAGGATTAATGGGCAGAATTAAGGAATTCCGAAGTCTTAAAATTTCTCTAAATGAGACTGTTGGGGTGGGCACAAAGGACAGGTAAAAGATTATGGAAGAGCAGGGGAACCGAGATGGATTCTACATGCTTATTAAAGATTATATGTGATTTACTGTAAACTTGTGGAGAGCTTTGTAGTTGAGAACCAGAATTTGAAATTGAATCTTTATGTTCAATGGAAACATGTGTAAGAATTGATGAAGGGGTGATGTTTGAGAAGAGCTGTGAGTAATATGTGTTACAAAGAAAAGCCTGGCAGCATAATTCATTATAGACTGTACAGAGGTAATCTGGACCTGTGTGAAACGAACAAAACGTGGGTTACAGTAATCACATTAGAAGATATGGAGTGCATGAATAAGAACTGGTTACATCTTGTGTTTGATAAGAATTAAATGACAGGTATATATTTAAAGGGAAAGTATCAGGATTTTAACATAGACTGAAGAAAGAATGGAATGAAACGTCAAGGTGAAAAATGATTCTGATGCTGTGAGCTTGTGAGGTGTAGTTGACCTCCAAGGATATTGACAAGGTGGGTTAACGTTCAAAGAAGTAAAAAGAAAGATTTGAAATTAGAGAGAAATAGCTTAAGGTATTTGAGATACATATATCTATATATGGGGAGAAGCTCACTGCATTCCATCAGAGTATTAGTTGTACTAAATTCCTAAGAAAGTTATTAGATTGCCAGGTAAAAAAAAGAAGGACATTCAGAACTGAACCTAAGTGGAGAACTTTGCATGGAGGATAAGGTGACAGAAAGGACTCTGGAACATGGACGGTGATGGTGACAGCAGTTTGCTTGACTAGTAACCAGACTAAATTACACGAGCATAGATTGTATAGATGGATCAGTTTATAAGCAGGGAGTTACATGTAGTGCAAGACTTCCCTCAGCTCCAAACAACTTTTCATGTTATGAGTTCATTTAGGGTGCTAGAGCTGGATTTGGGACCATTGCCATAAGCAATGCTGTCACATCCTGCTCTGTTCTGCGGAGATGTCTGGCCTTGGCTTCTGCTACCCAGTACTCTTTTACAATTCTTGTTTTTTTTTTGGTTAATCAATGTTTTTTATTGTAGGAGAATAAGCAGTTATTTAGGCACGCAGGCCTTCTGGCATTGTTACAGTATAGAATACACATCACAACAATATGGCAAACATAACAGTGGAAGTTACATTCAATCTTGTTATACCATAAGTGTAAGTGTTCCATTGTGTGAACTTTACTCAGCGTAGGTTGTCACTTTGTTGCAATGAGTAGCTGAGTGCATCGCTGCCTGGGCTCTTCGTAGTTAAGAATAATGGTGGGTGTGTTAGCATCCCTTGGTGCCTTGAAGGTGCGTAATTATAGGTGTTATACCTTGTTAAGATTTGTATGTGTGTGTGTAAGAGTGTGGAGGGGTGTTTTAGTTTGTGTAAGCGGGTAGGAGGGTTCATGCTTAAATGAGGTATAATACTTCGGTTTCATGTGGTGTGGTGCATTGTGTTGTGTATGTCTATGGGGGCAGGGAGTGTGGGTTCTCCGGGATTCCTCTTGGATGGAGTGAAGGTGTGCCGTATGTGTGTCCGGGGTTGGTTTTGTCCTGTCTGGTAGCCTATTGGCCCGTGGTCGCTTTTTAGTGTTAGATCTTTTGGGGTCGTAGCTAGCCAATGTTGTCTTGTGTTATCTTGGTAAGAGGTGCCGTGCGAGGTTAGTCGGTTCCTCGTCCGTCAGTCAGTCGTTTGAACATGGCCTGTCGGGCATATAGGGGTGGAGCTTTGTTCCAGTTATTCGTCAACCTCCTTTTATCTCCTGTTTTTCACTTTAGTTGTTGTCGTCTGTGGTGTTCTCTTCCCTAAATAAGTGGTATAGTCAGTTCGTTTCAGTCTGATGTTCATGTGTTCTCGCGTAAGATTGTATTTGGGGTGTGGCGTGTAGCATAGGTTTGTAGCGGCGGCCGCGGTGCCCCTCACCCCCCGGCCCACAGCCGACCACCCCCCTATGCGCCAGCCCGGAAGGTGAACCACGGCATCCAAGTTTCTGCACATTTCGCTCCCCGGCCTGCCAGCTCCGCTTGGAGCGCTTCAGCCGCCCTAATGTCTTCGACCCTATGGATCCATTCCTCCCTTGTGGGGATGTTCGACTGTTTCCAATATACTGGTATCAACGATTTGGCCGCATTCAACAGATGACGTAATATTGATTTTTTATATGTGGATAGCGGTTGTGTAGAAATGTGTAGCATGGCCAGTTCCTCTGACCATTCAGTGTCGTCTCCGAGGATCAGTTGAGTGTCTGATTTAACTTGGTTCCAGTATGGGACGATATGGTTGCATTCTCACCAGATGTGTCTAATGGTCCCTCTTTCATCCTGGCATCTCCAGCATGTTGGCGGTGTTGTGGGGAAGATCCTGTGTAGCAATACTGGTGTTCTATACCACATGGAGATCAGTTTATAGTTAACTTCTTGGTAGTGTGAGCTGGAGGAGCTTTTGTGTTGCCATAACAGGGCTTTATCCCATTGGGTTGGTGTGAATGTTTTGTTCATGGTGCTCTCCCATTGCAGCTGAAAGGTGTTATTTTCTGTGGTGGCGTTGGTCAGTAGGTACTGGTAGAGGGTCGAGATAGCTTTTCCTATTGATGTTCCTCGTAGGCAGAGGTCTTCAAACCATGTTAAATCTCTTTGTAGCTTTTCCTTGTGTGGGAGTGAGTGGAGATAGTGTGTTAATTGCATGTATCGGAGTATCGACATTGGGGATCGTGGACGACCCTCCAACAATGTGTCTAGTGTCTTCATATTACCTCCCTGGGTGATTTTGCATATTGGTATGTAGTTTCACCTAGGAATGTCCAGGATTCTAGTGGTAGTCCGCCACCTATGTCAGGGTTGTGTGCTATCGGCGTTAAAGGGCATGGGGTCGGGGAGATTTGCGGTGCCTCCCTGATGGATTCCAATGTGAGTAGGGTTTGTGTCACTGGGTCTTTCCCTCTTCTTCCTGAGCCCCTAGTTGTTTGTTTTTTCCATACCAGTGCCTTTAGTTTCGACGTGTTCCCCCCATGGTCCAAGGTCACCCATTGTTTAGTCGTTTCCGTTTCATGCCAGTCTAGAATACGCTGTAGCGTTGTAGCCTGGTGATATTTTTTGAAGTCTGGCAGTGCCAGGCCCCCCCTGTGTCTGGCCAGGCACAGAAGATCATGACGCAGTCTGGATCGTTCCCCTCTCCATATGTATTTAATGATTGTCGATTTCAGGGTTGAGAAGAATGTCGCTGGTAATGTTATCGGTATGGTTTGGAATAAATAGAGTATTCTTGGCAGGACATTCATTTTGAGTACCGCTATATGGCCGTGCCACGTAATGTGAGGGTAGGCCCACCTTTTCAGATCTAATTCGATTTGTTGTAGGAGTGGGGTGAAGTTTAGCCGGTATGTCTCTTGCGGGTTTGTGGGTATCCAGATGCCCAGATACTTCATTGCCCCTACGCACAAGCGGAACAGGAAGAGAGGGCCAAGGGATTCATATTCTGCTGCGGGTATGCTGATGTTCAATGCCTCGCATTTTGCAAGATTAAGCTTGAATCCTGATAGCCGCCCAAATTTATCCATTTCCGATAGTAAGCAGGGCAATGTGATCCGTGGGTGGGAAATAAAAAATAGAAGGTCGTCCGCATATGCTGCAACTTTGTGTTCCGTTCCCTGCCATGTGTAGCCCCGGATGTCCTGGTGGTCTCGAATTGCTTGTAATAGCGGTTCGAGTGACAAGGCGAACAAAAGTGGTGATAAGGGGCATCCTTGTCTGGTGCCGTTTGCGATCCCAAAGCTTGTAGTTAGTGCCCCATTAACGCGCACAGCTGCCCTCGGTGTGCTGTATAGGGCGGATATCCACGTCATGATCCTCTGCCCCATACCCACGGCTTGAAGTGTTTGGGTTAGATATATCCAGTTGACCCGGTCAAATGCCTTCTCCGCGTCCGAGGATAGGAGCAGGAGGCGTTTCTGGAATTTTCTAGCGTGATGGTGAATGGAGAACAGACGTAATGGGTACTGTCTCTAGCCTCTCGTCCTGGGATAAACCCCGTCTGATCTGCGGCAGTATCCGTTGAAGTCTAGTCGCCAGTACTTTCGTGAAAAGTTTAGTGTCCACGTTTAGCAGGGAGATCGGGCGGTAGCTGCTACATTGTTCCGGGTCTTTCCCAGGTTTCAGTACAACGGTTATAGTTGCTGTTAGAGATTTCGTGCCGAGGTGTCCTCCTTCTGTTAGTTTATTAATTTCTGTTGTCAGCTTTGGTAGTAGTAGTGTCGCAAAGTTTTTATAATAACCTGTGGAGAACCTGTCCGGGCCCGGTGCTTTCCCTGTTTTCGTGTTTTTTAATGCCACCGCTAGATCTTCCGTTGTAATTGGTTCGTCGAGGATGGATGCGGCCTCCGGGTTTATCCTTGCCCGCACGTTATCTTGTAGGTAAGTCTGTGTTTGTTCTAATAAGTTTCGTTGTTGGGCTGTGTCCTCTGGTGGGCGGAGATTGTATAGGGAGTTGTAATAGTTTCTTAATTCTCCGGCTATCTCTTCTGGAAACTGGGATGTGCTTCCCGAAGTTAAGCAAATTTTTCGGACTTGTGTGCGCGGCATGTCGCCTTTTAGCATGCGAGCTAGGAGCTTCCCTCCTTTGCTCGCGTGAGTGTAGAAAAAGTTTTTTGATCTCTGTAGCGATCAGAGGTATCTCTGCGTGAGGAGGTTCTTCAGTTGTCGTCTGGCTTCCATTAGTTCTCCATAGGTTTCAGTTAACTGTGTGCGTTTGTGTTGAAGTTCTAGGCGTGAGATGGTGCTGTATATTTCTGTCATTGCTCATGTTGCTTCCTTCCTTTTACGGGTTGCAATGCTGATGACAGTGCCTCGTATGACGCTCTTGTGGGCTTCCCATACTGATATTGGTGATATATCGTCTGTTTCGTTCTCTCTAAAGTATTATTTATGGCCCCCACCCGCCGCTCAGGGGTGGGGGCAGGGGTGGGGGGGATGACAATGGGTCCCCCCATTGTTATTTAGAGCCCCCAACCCCTGGTCAGTGTTTTTATGCAAAAGCCCCTGCAAGGGGTTTCCAATGCAAGAATACAGGGAAATCCCTCCCATGATCCTTTTTGCCTGAGAGATAATTATCTGAGAAACAAACATATAATTAAATTATCTCTCAGGTATAAAAAAACATACAATTTACTAACATCCTCAAAGTACCCCCAAAATCTATAGAAACCCCACAAAAGTTACATTCTTGGATAGCCCCGATCTGGGTGACCAAGATATCCGCAAAATCACCCAGATCGGTTCTGGTACAATTTTTCCCTGGGAGTCAATTATTTGACTGACCACACACATGGTCCTATGCCCAAAAGAGTTCCATGAAATCAGTGCTAACTGTTGGTCTCTTTTGGGAGTATAAAAATTAATAAAATACCAAACGGAATCCATGGTTAACGTGTATAGCTTGTTCACCTTGTTCGTGGGAACGATTTCACTGAACAGTGTCCTTCTAAGTTGTATAGAACCGAACACAGGCGTTTATGGAAGTCCAGCGGTGTCTGAATTCAGTTCCATGAACTCGACGACCAATGATCTCGTGGTCATTCATATGAATTGCGGCCACCCAGACGAACAATTAGAATACTGCGGTGGAACTCGTCACAAGGTGTCAATTGGACTTAACAAGCACACGGGTGGTCTCTGGTTCATGCGGTTGTTCGGTTCCTGAACAATATAGTGAAATGCACAAACAAAGTTCTTTAACAGAGTTTTTGCAGGGCACATAGTCTTTGAGCAGGAGGCTAGCCAGCAGACCCCTCCAGGAACACGTGGCAGAGGCATTTCTGCCACAGTCAGGATAACAGGAAGGTCCATGGGTAGCATTTATGCATAAACTTTATTAGAAAATATAATAGTAAAAACCATAGAGTAAAATAGCACACTATTTGTTTTGAGATGTATACATATAATTTGAAGAGTGAAGTTTACGGATCAATTTCCATATCAAGGTTTTCATTTTATGTTGAACTCTGGGGCACGCTCCGTTTCTTAATAGTTGTAAAAGCTGACAAACTTTATGCACGAGCCCTACTATCCAAGCTCCTTCTGAAGAAAGCCAAAATACAAACAGCTTCAAATGCCCTGTGGTAAATATGAGCTGGCACTCTCACGCAGTGGCGTACACACAATACATGGGGCCCCGTGCAAAACTGATCCGTGGGCCCCCCTTCCCCTCCCCCTTCTACCCTGACCCTCTCCCCCCTGACCATGGCCCCCCGACACATACATACAGACACAAGCACACCCCCTGCCGACAGACACATACATACACAGACACATATATACACACATGCAGACACATACATACAGAGACACAAACATGCAGACACATACATACAGAGACACACACATACATACAGAGACACAGACACACACAAAACAGAGACACACACATACAGAGATACACACACATACGGAGAAATACACACACATACGGAGACATACACACAGATACATACACACATACAGAGACACACACATATACAGAGACACAGACACACACATACATACAGATACACACACACAAACAAACAGAGACACAGACACACACACATACAGAGGCACAGACACACAGACATAGACAGACACACACAAAACAGAGACACACACATATACAGAGACACAGACACACACATACATACAGATACACACACACAAACATACAGAGACACAGACACACACATACATACAGATACACAAACACACACACATACAGAGACACAGACACACACATACATACACACATACATACATACATACAGAGACACACACATACAGAGACCCCGACACACATACATACACACATACATACATACATACAGAGACACACACATACAGAGACCCCGACACACATACATACACACATACAGAGACACACACATACACATACAGATACACAGACACACACATACAGAGACACACACACACACAAAAAGTTTCTTACGTTTTGTTACTTTCCCTGGGGTCCAGTGGGGGCTCAGCCTGATGGGAGTCAGAGTTCCTACTGTGACTCCCTCCTCCTTCCTGCTTCCTCCCACGCGGGCTGATAGCTGGGAGGAGTGACCAGGAAGTCACTTCCTCCCAGCAGTGATGTCATCACAGGGCCCCCTGAAAATCCATATCCATCGGGTGGCCAAGGGTCACCCGATGGACCCCTTAACATGCGGCACCGGGGCCGCAAAATGTGGCAGCTGGTACCCGGTCGCGGGGGTCCGCAGGGAGGCCAGGCACCCTGGAGTGACGGGCCTGGTCGCAGTTGCAACCCCTGCGACTGCGGTATGTACGCCGCTGCACTCACGGCAGTTTCAGGACAGATTCAGTATATTACTTAAAGAGTAAGAGCTATAGTGTTGTAGAAACAGGGAAAGATAATTACTATTGCTTTAGCCACGGGTTGACATTGCCACCAACAAAAATTTGAGAAGCACTTTCAAGTCAGGAAACTTCTTCTGGAAAGGCAAATTATCGAGGCAGGTCTGAATGTGAATCAAACTTTGTAAATCGGACCCAGGTTTTAATAAAAAAAAAAATTAGGATTTTTTATGTTTTATATGTTCATTTCCATTTTAGAGACAATAATAAACCCAACACTGCTGCATTTGACAATATGTTCTGTATGTTTAAAACATCTAAGATTATCTCCTGTTTGTACAGGAGCAGTAACTGTTAAATCTGCATTTAATAAGTGTCTTATAAAATGTGAGATTACTGATTTTCTTATCTCACCCACGTAGCTTTTAACATGAAGCCTAAGAGCCCAAATTAAGCCAAGTTGTGCAATATGCTTCTATTTAACAGTGAGGCAGCATGCTATTCTATTCTCATTGAACGTTCTGACTTCAAGATATATAACATTGAATTTTATTTTGACACAATAGTAATGTTTTGCTCCCACTCCATACTGTGGCTTTATCATTACCACTTAAGTGAAGGCATGTAATGAAAGATATGACAAAAACATTATCTTGCTTTGACTAGGGTGTACAGCAGAATGATAGAATACAATAACAAGCAAAAGGAATGGGTTCACATACTCTTTGAAATGGTTCACAGGAAGAAAACGTCCTGACACTTTATTCTTTTTTCCCAGTAGTTGTGGGTAGGGGGTAACAATGGTTTGAATTAGCTTTTTCTTTCTATTGTACTTTCACTTCTAGAAATTAGTTATTAGCTGTTGCTTCAAACGTATTGTCATTTCTACTGGTTTTTATTAGTTTGGAAACAATGAAATAACTGTGCCCATCCACAATTTTATGGCTGACAAGACTCAACATTTTTGGGTTTGAGTGCTAAACAGTAGATTACAGAAAATTGACAACCGAATTAGTAAAATTTAGGCCAAAATAACACATCTTTCCAGTATGACTATTTTTGGCATTTATGTAGCATATGATTTTTTAAAAAAAGCATTATTAATACTCAGCAGGTTGATTTATAGAAGTGAATATTGATAACCTTGAAAAATATGGCTTATTTCATAATCACAGAAACAAAAAAGCAAAAATTTACAAACTGAATATAATACTGGCTGGAGATAAAGACGTAGGCACCAAAGCATCCAGTGGTATGGAACTATGTAACCAGAGGGAGAGCACTAAATATCTAAAGTAACAGAAAGTATCAACACAAAAATAAACTGACTCCAAATAATAATAAATACCGAACCAGCCTTATAAGGCTACTCCCATGCCTAAGTAAGTGAGGAGATAAAGTTACTAAACACCTAATTCTGCAATATACATATAGGCTTAATTAGTCCTGGTCCTTTAATGCATAGGGTGTTAGTAAATCTCCCCTTAAATCCTGACAAAGGTGCATATATACTGCACCGAAACGCGCGTCAGACTCTTTTCTAAGGGTCAATTTTAACTTGCACACACAGGCACTTCACTGCACTGTGTGATACACATTTTTGTTATGATTTAAGTTTTTTTCCTTCTATGCCTATTTAGTAAGTTTAACAGGAAGAGAGGCTTTATCTACTTCACTTTATCTGTCCTACTTTTGATTATTAGCGCTGCTGATCCTCTAGACAGTAACCTTTCTACCCTTAGTATTTTTACTGGTGCTCAGGAATTAAGGGGAGATCTACTAATTAAGCCTATATGTATTTTGCAGAATTAGGTGTTTAGCACTTTCTGTTACTTTAGACCATGGGTTGTCAACCTGGTCCCTACCGCCCACTAGTGGGTGCTTCAGGATTCCAGGTGGGCAGTAGGGATTTCGGCGGCTAAATCTTCAGTTTGAGAGAGTGGGTGGCAGGGCCGGACTGGCCCAGCTGGGGCTGGGCTGACATCCCTAATAAATATTATGATTAATCCTCCCATCGGACTTTGCCAGCCTGTCAGTCCGAGGGGAGTAAGGAGGGAGGAACTGGGGGCTGGTGTGGCTGCCAGCGGCCGCAGGGAGACCTATCAGTCTCCCTGCACAGTCTGAAACCATTTTGTCTGCATGCCCCGCCCCCAAACGGAAGCTCCGCCTCCCATGCACAAGCTCCACCCCCACACACGTTGCTGGAAAGCTGCCCACCTAACCAAGAGGAAACTAAAAGG